AGTATCGCTGACAGTGAAGTGACTTTTGCCACCCGTGCTAAGCAGTACGGCCTGACTCAACCCATGATCACCAGCCTGGCTGACGCTGGAATCAAGAGTTACTCGTCTCTTCTTTTCTCAGTGGCCAGTGCACCTGGCGCTGTTGACGAGACTCGACTGAAGGCTACTCAGCAGAAACACCTTGGCGACAACCCGTCGGAAGGCACACTGTCGGCCTTTGCCAGGCTCCTGTTTGAGGCGGGGACGTTCGTCGTCGCAGAGCTGCGTAGCTCGGTGGCCGGTGACGACGACGGCACCAGGAAGCTGACGCACCAAGAACGGTCCAGCAGGATGTCCACTCTGAGGGCAAAACTGGGCGCGTGGCCAATCTCAGGGTCATTCGAGCCAAGTAACGCGCTCATTGATCTGGCGTTCTCCATGGTTGCTGACGGAGCTGTCAAGTACCTGGCACCAAGTAAGTGCAGCAGCCGTGAGGCTGAAGTGGTCTCTGACAAGAAGGATGAGACCTTGTTCAGGTTAGAGGCGGCGTCCTTCAAGGCAGCTCGCAAGCCCCCTAACTTCAAGGTCGATGTTAGTTCTGAATTGCGGCTTTACCAAGCCTTCTCCCGCCGCGGAGTGGCATTGGAAGTGGCGAACATCTGTTCGTTCGCGGCTCACGAGTCGTACGTGCGCGGTTTGTTTGAACACATTCAGCGCATGGCGCCGCCAGGATACACAGCACCAGGGATCGACGCTGTCATCTCTGCTGACCGTGCTGTCTGGCAGCAGGTTGCAACTCAGGTGCCCTGTCTGCCTGCTGTTGACGTGGTTGCCACTGTTGACTCTGCCCTGTCTGCCGCTGCTGCCTCGCCCTCAGTTGCTTTTCACGTTCTGCCTCGTGAGCGCAAGCGTGTTTTGGACGACCCCCCCAAGCCACCACTGAAGCAGCCTTACAAGGGCGACGGCAAAGGAGGCAAGGACGGCAAAGGCGGCAAGACCGGGAAGGGCAAAGACAAGTTTGGCAGGCCGGGCGCTGGCAAGGACAAGACAGGCTCTCCGTCCAAACAGACTGCCGTCCCTGCCGCCCTCAAGGGCCTTGACCCTAACCGGGACGGAACCCCCCTCTGTTTCGACTGCAACCTCGCTCACGGTTGCAAACGTGAGACGTGGGACACCGCCAAGGGGAAGCAGTGCGAGCGCGGCTTGCATCTCTGCATGCGCTGCGGCTCTGCCGATCATGGTGCCCATGCCTGCACTAACTGACCTGCCGTGCCTGCCTCAGGCGAGCCTCGGATGATCCCAGCTTCTGAGCATCCCTGCCAGGATGCCGATGCACACCATGACTCTGCGGCTTCGCCTGGGGTCTCTCAGACAGCCACACTTTTTCCGTTTAAGGTCCCGCCAGCCCCTGTGGAAGGTTCAGGTGGGTCTGTTCTTTCTCCTTCACTGACTGAGGCCAGTGCTGCGTCTGCCTCAGCTGTGAACCAGTCTGCTAAGCACACTGTTTTGGTACCTCAGTTTTCCGGCGCTACTCTCAGTACTGTGTCAGAGAGTAAACCAGCCACCGCAACTGCCAAACCTGCCGCCCTGCGCGACGCCAACAGGCCCGCTAACCGAGGAGGCAGGGTTACACTTGAAGTTTTCTCTGGTTGCTGCAGGTTGAGCAAGTGCCTCAGACAACAGGGTTTCGACACTCTTGCTGTTGACGTGAAAGAAGCTCAGAGGCACCCGGTCCTTAAGCTGGACCTCTTGTCACGTTCTGGCGTTTCTGTCCTTTGGGACATTCTCCAGTCAGGTCAGGCCGCCTATGTTCATCTGGCGCCCCCCTGCAGTACCAGCAGCGCTGCTAACATACCTGGAGGGCCACCACCGCTCCGGTCTGCTGCATACCCTGACGGCCTGCCAGGTTTGGGTTTTCGGCATAGGTGCCAGGTGAGCAACGCAAACAAGCTCTACAGTCTGACTGCCGCTGTTTGCCGTTTCTGTCAGGAGTCGGGAATCGGCTGGACGCTGGAGAACCCAGCCAGCAGTCTGTTTTGGGCCACGAGTCACGAGCCCTGTGGCACAGCTCAGTCGGGACCTGTCTGCCTGCCTGTACACGTCTGTTTTTGACGCCTGCTGTTGGGGCGGCAACAGAAAGAAAAGGACGGCTTTGTGGAGCTCCTTGAGCTGTGTGCAGCAGCTGTCGCAACTGTGCCACCCTGGCCTAGGGCACACCCACTCTGCGTGGGGCAGGCTCCCAGACGGCTCTTGGAGCACTTCTGCAGAAGCGGCATACCCGATGCCTCTCTGCCGTTTCTGGGCCGCCATGATAGGCAAGGAATACAGCTCGAGACTGCCCTGTGCCAAGGACGACTTCACTGTGAACTGGACTCCGGCGGCTGGGCTGTACCGTGCACACACCAACCTGGGGCTTTTTCCCAGAGGCCGCAGCCCTGCTCAGGTGGCAGACCCTTTTTCTGAGCGTCTCAAGATTAGGGTGCCTCTTGCCACGCCTGCCACTCTGTTAGTGCCAGGCTCAGCTGCAGTTCTGCCAGGGGCTTTTAAGGGGTGCAAGGTCTTGTCTGTTGA